TGGCTGCCCATCCATCTATGCGTCCAGCTGGACCTGCAGCCATCTGTGTGTCCATCTGTCTGTGCACTCCCCCTACACTTGGATACACACCTACCCGTGTGTCCACGCATGTGTCCCATTCTTCCTCCCCCCACCTCCAGAGCTCAGGGGGTTCTGGGGCTCTACTGGGAGACTGTGGGGGCACATGTCCAGCTGGACACACGGACAGGAGCACATTTTGGGGTTCCAGCCCCTTCTCTCTGCAGACCCCTCCCTCAGTAGTCCCCCCCTCCTGGCCAGGTATGTATGTATGTATGTATGTACCCCCCCCCATTAGGGGACATGCAGCACCCCCAGCCCTAGCAATGCAGGGGACAAGGCTGGAGTCAGCATTGCACCCCCCAAGTCTCCAGGGTGTGTGTCTGTGTGTGTGCAAACCCTAAATCAGCTTTTCTTTACCAATATCATCTCGATCTCTATGTTCCAGGGACTGTGTCCTTGTCAGTGAGTAAACACTTATCTCAGTTCCGCCCCCTAGGGGGTCCATCACCTGGGGGAGCCACAGTGTTTCTCCTTTCCCCAAGCATCAGCATTAGAAAATATTGCAATTTATTCCATCTCTTTCCTTCCAGAAATACACTTTTTACACCATTTCCAAGCTGTCTTTTAAATAAAGGCGCAGGGGTCACTCGGGCTGGGGCTGAGGATCAGCGGGGGCAGCAGGGTGCTCGGGAGGGCCATCCCGGGTCCGGAAGAGGAGCTCTCCGGCGGGAATGACCTGCTCTGCCTGCCAGGCCGCAGTGCCGTAGGGCTGGTAAAAGTCCGTGTCGGCCTGGAACATGACGAGGGCTTGGGCTGTGTGGATGCGCACGTGCTGCGCCAGGCTGCTGGCATCCAGGAACTTCTCCCCACAAGAATCGCAGGCATAAAGGATCTGAGTGTTGGGATCTGTGAGGGGAAACAAAAAAAAAAAAGGGGGGGAGACGCTGGCAAGGCAGAGGGAGCACTGATCCCTCCCCACTCCTGGTATTCCCAGTCTCACCTGCCTCCTGCACCTGCTTCACAGCTTTGGTGATCTCGGCTTTAAGTGCTTCA